TATGCTCTATGAAATCATAATTAGTTTAAATTATTTAATTATTTAAAATAAAAAATTAAAATATAAAAAAGCCTTACTTAAGAGTATCAGGTTCTGAATTAATTTTTCTTTTCATTAAAATAGATGCATAAATAGGATTATCTTCTAGTTCTGAAAAATCTATATCTTCTCCAACTCCTTTTCTTTGCCAGAATTTTGATTTATATTTTGTACTATCAGTTGGTTTTTGTTCTTCAATTTGATCTACAAATGTTGTTGGCAAATCACATGTTTTTAAAATAGAGAGTATAGTTTGTCGTATATCCTTTTCTTTTAATTGTATCTGTACTAAAGTAAATTTTCCAGCTTTAAGTTCTTCTTCATTTTTTGAACGTAAGTAGAATGGTAAAATAGTAGGTCTTATTGGTCTTTGCTGTTGTAAACTTTCTATAATAGAACTTAACTGTTTTAAAGAATTTTCATTTACTGTCTGAAACATTAAAAGTAAAAAAAATTAAATTTAATATATGTGTATATATATATATATATATTTAATTACATTTAACATTTTTATTATTTATTTTATATATATATATTAATAAAAAAAAATTAAATTTAATATATATATTTAATACATTTTTATTATTTATTACATTTGATATATATATATATATATATTAATAAAAAAAAATTAAATTTAATATATATATATATATATATATATAATATATTTTTATTATGTATGTACATTTATTTATTTTCTAACTAATAAAAATTATAAACTTTTCATAGTGTAATATATTTATTTATATATAAACATTATGTGCATTATATGCATACACATATATGCAATAATTATTGCACTTCCTTTGTTCTATAAATAATCTCAATTACAATCAAACGATAAACTGCGTTGCCGTCGCGTAATCGATTTAAATTACTTACACTTTGAAAATTTAGTTATAAATTATCTACGTTATCATAATTAAAATATATATTTACTCTTTGTGTAGGATATTGTCCAAAAAGATCAGGATGAACAGTAAAATAAAAAGGTCGGAGTGCAGTAGATATTTCACCTGTACTTAAAGCTCTTACTGCATTTTTTCTGCAAAAACTGTAAGAAAATAATTATTAAATTGTTTTAAATTATAAAAAATAATATAATTTAATTATATTTTGAGAATTTTACAATGTATATTTGTTTACCATCTTCCTAATGCACAATACATTTTTGTAATCTACTATATCATCACACGTTCATATCACGTTAAGATTTACAAGTTGAAATACGATAAATATATTCATTATTCATTACTTTAACTAAATATACTACATTTACAAATAAATCTGTCCAATATTAGTCGTAGAATATGATCTTTTAGATATATAATAAAAATAAAAACTACTGACATATACTTTTCCGTATAAGTATCTTTACATCGCGTCAGTATGCAAACTCGAATAACATTGGACTTGAACCTCTTCTTTTTGTCTAATCAATGGTGCGATCTATAGAGTATAAGAATACATGACATATATTGAAATGATCATCATATGTGTGATAATTAGTTAAATTATTATTTATTATGTGCAATGTAAAGATGAGTTTTATTAATAAAAAAAACATTATTAAATTTAAAATTTTCTAGTTTATATATATATATATATATATATATATATATATATATATATATATAAACATATTTATATTTTATTTTTACATGATGCATTGCATAGTTTAACAATATACGTCAGTAGTATCAATACTTTATATACTGCATCAGCTGTTTTTGTTTTTATAGATGTAAACATATAATGAAAAGAAGAATATTAAGATTAATACAATATTAAGATTAATACTATAGTATTTAGTTATATCTGTGTTAGTCACAGGTGGTCGAAAATGATATATATGTATATTATACACATAATGTTTCGACATTTTAAAACAATACGATATTGAAAATACTATCAATCATTTGATAGACATGATTCATTAAACATGGTTTTTCGAAAGTTTTTATATGTACTATACAACAAAATATAAATAAATATCCTACATTCTAAATGAATTATCAAAAGAAAAATTTGTGACAACTTTGTATATAACATATTGTAAGTACAAAATATAAATATGTATAATATTCAATTAATTTTATAATTACTGAAAATTTTATAACAAATTGTTTTACATTCCTTGTGTACTAATTAATTTTTTTATATATTTAGTTTCAGTATGTCATATTCTATCAATAGAAGACCTTTATTAGGAAGTGCATCAGATAGTGAATTTGAAGATGACTTAGAAACTGAAGCTGATGATCCAAATATTTCTATTCCAGATGAAAAACCATTTTTTAAGCAATATGAACCTTATGACAAGTAATAACTTTTGTAGACATTATTGTGAATGTCTCTTATATATATGTATGTGTGCGCGCGCGTGTATGTGTATGTGTGTTTTATTACATTTCATTTTAAATTTATATAATTTTAAAAATTATTTTCTTTTTTTTTTTTTAGATATAATCTTGCATACATTGTTTTTTATGTACTTGGTATAAATACATTAATTCCTTGGAGTTTTTTCATCACAGCTGATGATTATTGGATGTATAAATTTCGAGAAATACATGAAAATTCTTCTAAAAATATTAATTATACTCATATACAAAACTTGGAAAAAAGAACTGATCTTCAAGCTAGTTTTACATCATATTTAAGTGTAACAAGTGCAGTACCAAATACATTTTTTTTAATTATAAATGCATTTATTAATAAAAGGTAAGTAAATTCTATGATATTAATTATGGAATAAAAAAGAATTAATAATATAATAATATGATATATATAAATATATAAATAAAATATATATAAATATATATAAATAAAAAGAAATTTTAAACTACATAAGAAATATTAAAATAACAGAATTTCTTTAAGAATAAGAATGGTGGGCTCTCAATGCACAATATTATTATTTTTTATTTTAACAACAATATTTGTTAAAATAAATACAGATAAATGTAAGTTTTCGAAACAAAAAATATTTGATATAAAATTAGGTATTTTAAAATAAAATAAAATATAAATTTTATTTTTAGGGCAGGGAACTTTTTTAATAGTTACTTTGACCACAGTAGCATGTGTAAATGGTATATATATACATTTTAAATTTAAAATATTATTGAATAATTTGATAAAATTTGATAAAATGATAAAATTAAATATATGTTTATAGCTGCAAGTGCAATTTTTGGAGGAAGTTTAATGGGTATTGTTGGACGTTTTTCTTCAAAATATATAACAGCTATGTCAAGTGGACAAGCTCTTGGTGGGATTATTACTGCCACGGCAGAAATATGTTCTCTTTGGATTGGTGCTAGTCCTATTCTTTCAGGTCTAGTTTATTTTATTATTGGAGATGTTATATTATTTTTATCTTTGATTGCATACATAGTTCTAGAAAAAGCAGTAAGTAATTTAGCATTTTAATATAAATATATATTAATGATATTCATCATTAGATACATATGTTTTATAAGTAGCTTATGATAATAATGCAGATATAAATAAATAATACACTGTATATTAAAGAAAGGAATTAAATTACATAGATATTATTTATATTTTATAACAGACATTTTTTAAGCATCATATGATAGAAAAATTACCCGAAAATGTAGAAGCAGATTTTTCAATAACTGGAGAAGTAACTTTTCCACATGGCACTACAGTATCTTATAAGCGTATTATAAAAAGAATTTGGCATTATGGTATTAGTGTACTTTTAGTATTTTTTATATCTCTTTCTGTATACCCAGCACTTACTGTATTAATAGAAAGTCAGTATAAAGGAAAAGGTTATATATGGAATGGTAAGTTTTATAATTGAATTTTATATAAAATCATTTAAATATATAATTTATATGATTCTTTTTTTTTTTATAGATATCTATTTTGTGCCTGTGGTGACCTATCTCATTTTTAGTTGTGGTGATTACACTGGAAGAATATTATCAGGCATTTTTCAATGGGTTTGTATAAAATAATTAAAAATAGCAATTTTCTTTTATCAGAATAATATTTAAATGCATACAAAACAATTTTTTAGCCAAAAAATAAACCATGGCAAATTATATTTTTAAGTTTGATGAGAATTGCCTTCATACCAGCTTTTATGTTTTGTAATGCACAACCTCGACATCATCTCTCTGTTTATATTCATAATGACATTTATTATATTTTAATAACTATTGCATTTGCCATCAGCAATGGCTATTTATGTAATTTAACACTTATTTTAACTCCTACGTAAGTTATGTATAAAATATATATAATGTTACACACATTAACTCAATAAATTATTAATTTTATACTAAAGATTTTTAAATAGAGTTGTAGATTCTCAAGAGAAAGAAATTGCATCTGTTATGATGGGAGCTTTCCTTGGCATAGGATTAATATCAGGTTCTGCATTCAGTCTATTCATGGTTAAAATAATTTAATTATAATTTAAAAAAAATTTCACTGCCCTTTATATATTTAAAATGAAATAGGACCACAGAACATAATATCACATGATATTAAATAAATTTATTTTATAATTATTTTATATTTCATGACAAAATTAATCAATGTAACATTTAATATATTGCAGTAAATTTTTAAGCATTTCTTTGAGAATATCTATAATCAAATTTAACCATTTCATAATTACATAAAATATTTTATGTATAAAATGAATATAATTATATGTAACAGATCTAAAATATATATTAAAGATTTAATTATAATATAATATTATTAAAAATTACAACCAATTATGTATTATGTATTACTTAAATATTATATTTTTAAAAAATAAATTATAATAAATATTTTAATTACTGTCAAAACTAAAACTATAATATAATATATATACATAAATTTATATTTAGCTGTAATAAAAAAAAAATGTAATTAAATTCAATATCTGTTATTATAAACTAATTAAAACTTTTTAAATAAATAAAAGATTTCATTAAAGAGAAAATCTTATTGATATCCATGTCAGATATATTGACACAGAATATATATTACATACATTTTATAGTATTTTGTGTTACTAAGATTATATCATATACAATTTGAATTTTATTTATGCACATAATAAATATAATTTAAATTTTGTTTAATATAATTTATCATTTTGTGCATATATTAGAATAAATATAACTAAAACTATAAATTTTAATTACTATTTTAAATTTAATTCACAGAAAAAAATTACTCACTTATTGGAGCACACATCTATTTCATGAAATATAATATTGATTATCTCTACTAGTTAGTGGAACAAAAGCTACACCTGTAAGAGGCTTTTGTGTAATGCTCCCATCATGTATTTTGTCAACCTGTATTAACATTTGATCTGATATTCCTGAACCTACTGGTAATACCATACGTCCTCCAACAGCTAATTGATCAATTAACTGTGCATAGAAAATATTTTAATAAGTATAAATTAAATTTTTATAATTCATTAAATATTTAAATTTTTTCTTACCGCATGTGGCAATTCTTTAGCAGCAGCTCCTACATGAATAGCATCATATGGTGCTTGTTGTGGGAATCCTAATCTTCCATCTCCATCTAAAATGTTATATCTCTTATATAAAAGATACAAATCTATAATATTTCCAAAAAATTTAAAAAATAATTACCAACAAATTGAATACGACCATATTCAAAAAGTTCTGGATTATCCTTCTTAATGTTTTCTATAGCAAATAGGTTTAGTTCAGGAATATGTTCAATTCCTATAACTAATCCATTTGGCCCTGTCATCAATGCCATACATGCTGTTAAATATCCAGAACCAGAACCCACATCTAATGCTCTTGCACCATTAAATAACTTTTCTTCAAGTATTTCCAATGCATATGCATGCTGAATAATTTTAATTTATAAATTTTATTAATATATTTATTTTAACATAATATAATATATATAAATTATATTATAATATAATATAATATAATATAAATATATAAATGTAAATATAATGTGAATTCAGAAGGTATATACCATATGAGGAGCACTTATAGTTGCACCATAACCAATCTGTTGTGGAGCATCAAAATATGCATATCCAGAACGAACATAATGTCCCCTATCTACAGCAGACATTGCTTCATAAACTCTCTCAGTTTTAATTATTCCTGATGCTAAATTCAAAACATTGATTTATTTATAATATTACTTCTGTTAATAAATATAATTTAAAAAATATATAAATAAACAATTTATAATAATTATGCTGTATTTATATTGCTTACTCCTAAGATATTCTACAAGATCTTGATTAGTTCTTCCATTAAATCTTGCAAACCAGGCCATTTCAAATACAGGAAACAATAAACTTATCACTATGAAAATAAAACACGATAATTTTATCACAAATTGAATTTCCGTAAATCGTGATTTAATGAAGCACTCGAAATATGATCGTTGTAATAATTCACTTATAAATTTGTTAGAACGGCTAACTAATTAAATATATTAATATTTATCTATGTTAATATTTTCATTAAAAAAACAAAAAATAAATTTATTATATATGCAAAATACTTCAGCAGCTTTAAATATAATTATATATGCAAATACTTCAATAATATTAAAAAACAAGTAAAATGAAACCGCCTAATTCAATATAAATCAAATATAAATTTATTTGCAACAAATATAATTGATATACTGATTTTAATGTATCTGTCTTGTACGTATATTGCAAATTTCTAATAAAATAGAACTTTATCAATATGTACTGAATACAGACAGATATGAAAGATCAAGACGTACAAGACCAACGTAACATATCAAATAACGAAGTGACATGTAATGATGCAATACGGTAGCAACACGATAGATTTGTTTTCAAACTAGTCAATGAAATTGTAAATATATGTCATAACATAAAAAACACTATACCAGATACTTTACTAGGAACATTATAATCATCTAGTAATAAATTAATTTTCAAATATTCATTTTCAATTATTTCTTATTGTTCAAACATTAATTTCAGTTTTTAAAAGTTGAAATGTATAAATTAAATTTGTTAGCTAATTAATCTTTTGTTTATTACTAGATAATATACTAGTGTAATTAATTATAAAATTTTATTTTTATTATAATTATACTAAATTACTTATTATAATTAAAAAAGCAGGAATATTTTAATAAAATTAATTTCAAATTATTTTGAAAAGTTTAAATTTGATTTAATTCTGTAATTAGATATTCATTCATTGAATATTTCATCTATATATTATTTTTTTCTTAGTTCTTAGTATTGCTATTTCATCTATATGTAATTTTTTCTATGGTAACACATGTTATGATACTATTAGTATTTATGTTTAAACAATTAATATAATGTAAAAACTATATTTTTGTTATAAAGATTATATATAAAATGTTATTTCGATTTTGTCATATTGGTTGCAAAACTATTAATATATCATTTGTCAATTTTACAAGGCACTATGTAATTACATATTTAATATTTGATTTTTTTTATATGATGTATTTTGTATTTTGAGTTAATTTTATATTAATTTCAATTTAGGCAAGAGCGGTAGTTAAAAGCCGTCAAAAAAAAAATGAAATAATTGATAATGAAGTAAAAAATCAAGAAAAAAAAATACCAATAATACTTTCTAAAAAAAAATTATATGACTTTTATACAGATGATATACATATTAAGAAGAAATTAATATTAGCTAGTCATGGATGGAAAAATAGAAAATCCAAAAGTGACCACTTTTTTATATATCCTTATCACAATGTATAATAATTTTTATCTATTTTTGTATATGTACATGTATTGTATATGTGTGTGTGTGTGTATATATGTATTTTATAGTACATGTTTCATTATTACAATTTTTTTTACAGGATAAGACAGAGATAAATAAAATTGATTTTGAAGCATTTGAAGAGCTTAATATAAATAATTCTGTATGTACTAATTTAGAAAATTTAGATATATATAAACCTTCAGAAATTCAGAAATTAGGAATACCAAAAATTCTTCAAGGATGTAACGTATTATTAGCAGCAGAAACTGGATGTGGAAAAACATTAACTTATCTTTTGCCATTGGTAACTAAAATTTTAATATGGAAACAAAATATGCAAAGTAATATAAATACTCCATTTGGCTTAATTATAACTCCTTCAAGAGAATTAGCAGTTCAAATTGCGGTTAGTAAATTATATTATTAATATATTAGTAATATAAATCTAAAACTTTCATTTATATATTATAATATTTACAAAAAACATTCTATTTTTTTTTTTAGTTGGAATTAATTAAGATATCTAAAGATCTTGATATTAAAATAAAAATAATCACTGGTGGCAGAACAAAAAAAATATTATTGAATCCTCCTGTGGGTCATGTTGATATTCTTGTTTGCAGTTTTGGAGTTATTAGTAAATTGACAACATTTGGTGTATATAATCTGAAATTTGTAAGATTTGTTGTCTTAGATGAAGCAGATTCCTTGTTTCATCATTCGTTTGAGGAGAAATTAAGAGTATTTATGAAAAGAATATTTGTACGTAAAAAAAAAAAAAAAAGAAAAATGTTTGATAAATAAAATAAATTTCATGAAGTTTTAATAAATACAGGTTGAAAATCATCATACAACAAAAGATGAATTCACTGATTCACCTCAACTTATTTTAACTTCTGCAACAATTCCTTCACGGATGAAGAATGTATTGAATGGAATTGTAAATGTAAGTGATAGAACTTAAGTGATTTTAAAAATAATTTTAAAAAACAATAAATAATTTTATTTGTAGCCAGATTCATTAAAACATATAACAACAAAAAAATTACATAAAATATTGGTTCCACAAAAATTTATGAGATTAATACCGAGTGAAAAACCTGTGGAACTTCTGAAATATATAAAACCTAAAGTGTTAAATAATCAACGCATAATTGTATTTTGTAATCAAAATAGTACTTCTTATTGGCTTTCTTCTTTTTTACACGAGTGTGGTATTAAAGTTACAAATTTAAATGGCGATATGCCATTGTCTGTACGACGAGGAAAATATGGAGAATTTATAAATGGTAAAACTATGGTATTATCTATGACGAACGGAGGTTCCCGAGGTTTAAATACAGTGATGGTTAATCATATTTTAAATTATGACTTTCCATTAGACACAGCCAGTTATATTCATAGGTATTCAATTTATTTAATTTATTTTCAATTTAGATTTTCTATTTATAAATAAATAGAAAAAAATATTGAAATATTATATATTTTATTTAGATGCGGTAGAACTGGCAGAATAGGTACCATAGGTGCTTGTAGAGTGACAAATTTTATTTCCAAAGTAGGAGAAGTCGTTATAGTTCAAAAAATTGAAATGGCAGCTAGAAAAATGAAACCAATACCTCTGTTCAATCTCGTGGATAAAGAAGAAGAAGAAGAATTGGAAATAGAAAATGATTACCCAGAAGAAATAATCGAAGATTTACATAACGTAGAAAATATTCCATATTGAAATTTAAATGTTTTTTTTATATAATGTAAATAAACATATATAATTAATTATTAACAAATAACAAAAATTATTTATATTTTATATTTACTTTATATTTTTCATATTCTATTTATTTTATAATACGTGTTCGCTGAAAAGTCTTCTATGAAACCTTTTAGGTGAATCTCGATAGAAGGATAAAAAAATCGATTAAGTGTCATTGACCTTAAACCTATTTAATTTTATTTAACTCCTTTATTAATTCTTTATATCTTCTATATAAAATAATAAATATATTTAATAAATTGTTTCTTAATTGTTTCATAAAAATGTTTTATCGAGTTTTTATAGGACAAAGTTAATGATAATTCTTATATCCGTTAATAGTCCATCGATTCGTTTTATCTTTTAAATTTCAGAATTTTGTGCTTTTGGATCAAGGAAGGAAGCTTTCGACCCACACGTGTATTTCTATTCATCCGTCAATGTTCCGTCATGTCCGGCGGCACTCCTACACTGACCGCCTACATATCGCAAACAGAACTACTATAATCCAAATCGTATGTCTAGACCAGTTTATTACTCGCATTGTATTTTAACGAAATTAAGTGTGGTTGTAGGTATTCCGATATTTGTCTTTCTCTGGGGTGTGTCATAATGTTTCGAATGATAATATTATGAGTATATCATGTAGATGAAAATTGTCGATGAATCGGTAAAATAAAATTTTTTTCAATATTGCAAAAATTTTTTATCTTAAATATAAAATTTTTATCTAAAAATATAAAAATATGTCATACAAATATAATAAATATTATTTTTTTTTTATACTTAACTTATTATTCCTATAAATTGTAATTCCTATTAAAGAAAATAACTTATAGCTAGTTTCTTATTGATGAAAAATTATATAAAATATATTAAAATGTATAAAAAAAGGAAACGGAAACGGAAACGGAAACGTGATGAATAGTCAAGAGCAAAGACAATGAAAATGAATTAATTAGCGTGGGTAGTTGCACGTCATTTAGGACACATGGAGGTATCTTATATACAAATTATAAAAAACTTTTTCTATAAATTAAAAAAGAATAATAAATTATCTGAAATATATTTGTACGTGTTTAATTTTTGATGAACTTTGATTTTTTCAATCGTTGAAGAACAATGCAATTAATTTTGAACATATTTTAATTAAGAAAATAATTTTTAGAATCTTTTATTTTTTATACAGATTATAAACCGATGTTCTAATTTAATTTTAATTCTTGTTAAAGAATCAGACATGCCTGACCCGAATTACAAAGAGTCAATTTGTCGAATTACGGTCACAATGAATCAAACTAGAATAAATGTTATAGATATTTTTCATACAGTTATGAAAAATATTACGAAAAATATATAAAAAAATTAAGAATTTTTTCAACATTATTTAATTCATGTATAATATTAAATGTTAATAAATAAACGTTGTAAAATATCAAATTTTTTTAAATTAAAAGTATTTTAAAAGAAAAAAAGAAAAAATTAAAAAATTTATATTACTTATTATATTATCATACAATATGTATATATATATATATATATAAAAAAAATATTTGATTTATACTTAACTGTCGGCAATTTATCCTCGTAACGAGCGCTTTAGTTTCGAAGAGACGCGAATATCGACGTAGAATGGAGTGGGGATCTTCGTGGCCGTCGTAATAGAAGCGAACTCAGTTGTTCTGCGACGCGCAACTTGTTAGCGTCGTGGTATTGTGTATCGCGTTTCATTTTGCTGTTTAACTTTTTCATATGTTTTCTTTGTTTAAACAATTGTCGTAGTGATTTATTTGTCTATTCTTAAAATCTTGAACATATATTATTTAATAATAATTGGAAATATATACTTCGATATTATCTGAAGGAAGGTTACGAATCGACACGCCAGGTCCGGGTTGACGAACCCTCTGAAAGAGGCGGACACGTCGGTTCTCTAAAAATGCAGCGCGTCGTTAGAGCTTAACACGCCTATGAATCGTGTGAACGGAAAATAATAAACGACATTCTTAAAATTAAAAGATAAACGAGAGCGCAAAAAGAGCAATCGTATCATCATTGTACTTGGAGTGGAAAGGAAATCGATCGAAAAAAAAAGATCGAGATGTGTAATCGAAACGACAACGATGACGATGACAACGCCGCATTGTTGGATCGCTACTTCGAAGGAATCGAGTTTCAATCTCGAATCGAAGGATTTTGAAGCTCGATCAATTTGTAGTGTAAGTGATTGTGAGTCGTGAAATAATTACTTTTTTAACGATAAAATATATCGTGAGTTCAGACAACGTGTTTCATAACGATATTTATCGATTGTTGATCGTCCTGTGCGAGTTAGTAATATGTGTAAAGAGAATCGAAACTAGCGAAGGACGTAGAGATACAATTGAAACGTGCGTGCTGAATTAATAGTGTGTTAGTGGAGAAAATTTCGTTTATTTTTGTGTTGGTAGAAAGACCCGGAAGCCGCTATATTGGAGAAGAAGCGAGAAAGCGGCGTGCCGCTCTTCTGTGTACCGCGGCAAAGGCGATCGTCGCAGCCTGAAAATGTAAGTTTATTTTATAATGTTCCATAGTCGAGTCTATCGCGATTGGACTAATCTTTGAATGAATAAACTCGATGTATATATATTCATAGAATGAATATTTATGCGTATTGTATTGTGAATTAATAGGAACTGAAATTTTATTCACGATGATATTTTCAAGAATGAAATCATCACGATATGATATAGTATACGATATATGAGAGTACATTTTAAATAAATATTTTCTCATGATCTAAAAATATAATATAATCGCAAATATCATAATCATAAATTACTTAAAAGATTATTTGTTAGAAGATCAAATTTTTGCAAAATAAATGTTTCCTACTATAAAGCTTGATTCATATTCCGCAAGAAAGATGGGTTAATGTCGTATAATATCGGTAGGTGAAGGTCATCGCTGGATGCCAATATCGTACTATCAACGAATTTGTAGTGCTGTAGCATCCATGCTCTATACAAACATATATATATTACATATATCATATTACATATATTTATAAACAATTTGTTGTCGATCGTTAAGTTATAATATCTTTTAAATGATTACATTATTTTCGCCTTTTATTGAAAGTTGTAAAAAAATTGAAATAATTCTTTTTATAACCTCGATTTCAAAAGAAGAAATAATTTGCATCATCATATTCGTATTGTTAATTTAATATTCACGAGTCTTATTAATCTAATACTAACGAATCCAATCTTTTTTAATATTTCAATAAACAAAAGTGCAAAATGATTTCAATGATTTTCTCACGATCAATGGTGATCGATCGAACAAAGTTATCCAGCGTTTGGTATAGTATATACGCTATATAGTACGTTCATGTTATTCAACCAATATTTTTGGAAAAAATGTTGCGTGAGATTAGCGTATCCTAAAGTAGCCGTTGCAAGGGAAAGAAACCTTTGTGCGTAGCCTACAATGTTATTGTATTCCCAGCACGTATAGGCAATGGGAGTTCGTTATTACGCCTACTTCCGGTGGTCGGTTCGTGACGCGGAGTCGCACAAGCTTTAACTGTTCGAATATTTCAAGTATTTCCCCCGCGATCAAATATTCAACCAATCGTTTATACGCAAAGGTTTTTCAATACAACAAGGTATGCAAGAAAATATACATATCGCAAGTCGTATTAATTAAAAAGATGATTTAAACCGTTCGTTTGTTTTTAGGAATCAAAAATATAATTTTTCAATTCTTGTAAAATTCATTGTCAAAATACAATATATACCTGCACCTATTCATGTGAAAAGTATAACCCGCTATTCGAAAATATCGAAGAAGCCAATCCCAGCTGGAATTTTAGAACAGCTGCAGGCGCATACCTAAGCGATAGCCAGCCAGCCTTGCCTCAGGTCTCAGAAACGCTCGTAAACTCGATCCCTCGTCTCAACTCGATCCAACTCGACTTGACTCGGTTTGACTCGAATCGGGATACATAGATAGACAAAAATCGCTCTGGTTTTCTACAGGCTGCAGCCGAAGCAAATTAAGTATGTAAGATACTTAACCTGCTTTCTCAAACTCCTGAGAAAGCATCTTGTTTGTACCGACTCGCATAGTATTAACTGTTTTCGTAATACGAAGTCTACGAACGAGCAATATATAAAATTATTCGAGAGAGAAAAAAAATTCTGTCGTTTGTCAAACAAATTTTTTTTTTAATTTCGTTCAATTGTTTTAAATTATTTCGAGATACATATTTTGCCCATTGATTGTATCGTATTATTATCTTATTATTATTTAGATTAGAGAATAACGTGTAAGCGTTTTCCCTGGATGACCAATAACACGGATTGCCTAGACCGTTTCCTGCGGCAATAACCTTCCCCCTGGAGTCGAATTATCGTCGCTCTTTATGTGCCGTTGTCGGATCGACAGGATACAGGTTCTTTAAAAGTAACCAAAGGCAATTAATTAAAGCCGGATGCGTTGATTGACCTCTGAATAAGTTTATCAGGGTTCGAGGATCGAGAGGCTTGGCTCTTTCGTTCCAACATTTGTTTGGAACCGATCGTTGAAACGATCGCTTATAATTTAAACGCGTTCACAAATTTGTTCTATATACTGTATATTAAAAAACACGGCATAGATACAAGGCTTTGGACGATATAAAAATAAGATTTTCTATATACGCGATTATAAATAAATCTAGTCTCTGATGTCTCTTTCAATCTATTTCCGATAAAGAAGAAAAATAACCAAGTATGAAAATAGGTGTAATAGGATCGATAATCGAACACGTCCACGGATACAAAGTCCTTTTAATCGATCGTTGCTCGGAATTCCAGGTCATCGAGGGGAGAAAACTCTATGTCGATGGATCTTCGGGTCTTCTGCATTCCGTTGGTCTTTGATTTTATATGTGCAATAAAAACGATACAATGACGAATCAAACGCGTTTAATATGCGAGGATCGATGGAACGAAACGAAGAATTTGATCGAACCAAGAGATGGAATATTCCTTGTTAGAAATAGTCGAATGCAAAGTATATACACATTACTTGTACGCGTATGTATGGTTATATCACAGCATGTGGTTAACTGTAAAAACGTCAGATGGGGACCTGGCTACGAGTAGCTAGCGTTGTCACCAATGCAGGTACGTTACGAATCGAAAAAACACTGTCACGTGACACCTAAGATGCCTTGCTAAGAACTTTGGTACGACGTTCGCTTATCTCTTTCCTACGAATAGCGGTGTAACCGTCAACGTTTTATGGACAATTCTCGAGCCTTTTCACCTTGAACGATATAATATATCGAATTACCTATATTCGACAACAAGCTTGACCTATTTACAATTTCCACGAGTCTCGCAAACAAAGTGTACACGTAAAAATATTTGAAATTTTCTTTTTCTTTTTTTTTTTTTTTTTTTTGCCTACTCGCGTAGTTTTTTTTAAATATAATATCACGCTATGACGACAAATCGTTAAGTCAGTTTCGGCTTTCGTAAATATTTCGAGATTGCTTGTGTCTTAAAGAAGCGCACTGCTCGCATGCTAACTCGTTGCGAAAGTAACAGTGGAAAAAATGCTCAACTTACGCTTTTATACGAGGAGGTGCGAGTAAAACGTAAATATGATTGTAATATATGATTTCAAATACAGGGAAAGAAGGGAAAAAATTTTCCATTCAAGAATTTCGACGAGCGAGAAAACCAACGGAATCCACTGGATTTTGCTATATCACGGCTATTTATCATCGTTCGACTCGAGGATTTAGATATCGTTAGACCACGTCCATTCACTTTGTTCGCGGGTGTATCGCGAAAAAAAAAGAAAGAAAAAGAACCGTATTAGGTCAGTAGCATTCGGGTGTTCGTCCTCGATGGAAAGAAGAATAATAATAAGAGGAATTCAGCCTTCTCCTCCTTCCTTCTTATCCTCGATTCTCTCGGTTGGGTTAGGCTTGCCCCGAGTGACTCTTTCGAGTAACGGCATCTCGGACCCATCCTCTTCCTCCTCGTTCGACTTTACCACTCGCCTCCGAATACTTTCAACATTCGCGTTCACCGACACACACGCTGCTCCTCCTCCTCCGCCTCCTCCGCCTCCTCGTCCTCGTCCTTTCTCTTTTTCTTCTTTTCTTTTGTCCCTTTCTTCCCTTTTTCTACTCTCTCGCGCGCACTCTACGTTACGCTACGCAACACGGAACGTATGTATATCCGCCTGTGCGGATACGCATTCGAGAATTTAACGTAAAAGAAGAATTTCACGCTACGTATATGTACGTTCGTCATCATCGTATTTCTCTATGAAATTTTCAAAAACCTTTCTTTTTTTTCTTCTTCCAAACACGATACCGATTCTCTCTCTCTCTCTCTCTCTCTCTCTCTCTCTCTCTCTCTCTNTCTCTCTCTCTCTCTCTCTCTCTCTTTCTTTTTCTCTCTCTCATTTGCTCGCGATAATGCGTGATTGCACGGAATACCTGAATGCGTACGCGGCCAAACGATCTCCTATCTTTCCCGACCGATGACGAAACATATCGGTGGATGAGTAATCGGTGATGAATAACACGAACATTAGCGAGACGATACGGTTACAAAGCAACGCATAATCGTGTACACGAAAAGAGAGAGAGAGAGAGAGTTCGAAAATCGAACGACTCATTTTCACTCTCCTCCTCACGGTTTATTCGTGGAAAATTAGTACGCGCTTTTGAAAGTGAAATCTCGACTCGAATAGTGGAATGACAGTCGATCCCCGCGCTTAATTCAAGCTTTCCAAGGTTGAGGTATAACATAATAACGTGTAATAACGTGTCGTTTCTCGGGTTTCTTTCGGCCAAAGATGTTGAGCGCGTAGGGAAGAAATCGTAGAAACGAGACGTTTCGCGAATCGGCTTCACCGCGTCCCGTTTGAATTTTCTGGGTCATGGTACGCGCCGCTCTTTCCCACCGCCTTTCTATTTCGGTGCACTCGACTTCTCGGACACGGTTTGCGTGTCCCTCGTGTGTCACGTGCGCCGCAAACCTCGCGCTCCGACCGTTGCGATTCTTTTCAACTTTTTTCGACTGGCCCGCCCAATTATTACATTTCGATGATATCTTCACCGCTGTCTCGCGTACGAGAACGAAAAAGATGTGATTTTTCTTCGAGGGAAAAAAAAATCAAGATTCCAGGGAAAAAATTCGTTTCACGTTTCAATCGCTCCCCTCCTTCCTCGTGATTTCATAGATAAGTATATTACGCGTCGTATAATATCTTTGAACGAGTTCTTTGAATCTCTTTCACTCGTTGTGGAAACGCTTCTCGTTTTTCGCCCCAATTTTTTTTCCTTTATAATAAATACGGCATACGGAAGGAATCGTTGAGGATCGAAAGAAGATCTCCGAGGCCTCGTTCGAGCCCTCGAGTGGTGGTGGCACGTTGAATAGCCGGCGCGCTCCTTTTGTCACGCTCCTTTCCGAGCGGCAGCACACTTTACACGCATAAAACCTGTTTCGAGGTTTAAAATTTTCTTAAGAGATTTTCTGCGCGTGGCAGCCGA